ACACTAGATGTATTTTCCCTGCAAATGTACCTATTTTTAACAAAGCAACAGTAAAGATCACCTTTTTATTGCACATGTTCATCTTTATTTCCCTAGAGCATTTTTTGCCAATGCCTCTGTTTAAATGGTTAAATCCACCTCCATGTAGGAAGGAGATCTTTAGATTCTTCACCATCAAATCATTTTCAACCTGAATTTAAAGAGCATGATTAAATAATTACAAAGCTTTAATTCCTTTCTTCCATAACTCCTTTTTTTAATCATCCACCATGGTCAATATGAGAATCTTAGCTCAATCCTGCAGGCATTTGAGTTAGACATTGAGGTTCCAGTGTATTGAGCATTAGGTAGAAGAAGCAAAAGAAGTCAGCCCTTCCATGAAAAGCCCACAGTAACAGTAACAATAATAACAAGTAGTAGTTACTGAGTACCTTCCACGTGCCAGAACATGCCAGGCACTTGACATTCATTATTTAATTTAATCATCACAATAATACAGTGAGGGCCGCAGGTATTATTATCCCCATTCCCGTTAGAGAACCGAAGCTCCAAGGGATAGAGTCACTTGCCTAAAGTCACACAGGAAATTAGAAACATAGCTGGCATTTGAACTTAAAACTGACATCAACTCTTTATAATGTCTTAATGAGAATTAAGGATAATTTCTGGTTCTTGTGGTAAAAGTTGCAAATTGCCTCGTAATTTTCCTGAGGATTCCTTGACATAGAATTCTTTGAGGCAGAAAGCAGACGATGCTTCACAAATGCTTTTATGACCACCATTTCTGTTTCTGTAACTCTCAGCAGTTCAGAAAGCGTTTGCCTAAAGGCATTTTTACTCCCTTAGAACCAAAAATATTGGTTCTATAACTTTTCTTAGACAGTTACATTGAGATTCCAATATGCTCCAAGCCACTACACTATTTTAGGATCAGACAAATATATTAATAATATAATGTGGATGGTGTGTTGCAGTTTACAAATCATACTAGACATTCCTCCCTTCAGCATTTATTTGTGGAGCCACGTGATGAGTCGGGTTTTGTGCTAAATGCTGGATGTGAAATCACAGCAAAAAAGGGAAATGGTCTTCAATTAAAGGGTGTAGATAGTCTATAAATGTGAGAAAGGCATTAATCAAATAACAGGACAAAGCATGTAAAATTGAAACCGTTGAGACAGTAGAAAAGAAGAAAGGCTGAAAATAATCTAAGCATTCAACCCTGAATGTTGTAAAAAGAATAAAAGAAACACAAAGACAGTTAAGGTAGAAAATAACAAGAGGAAAAGGAAGATGTAATGCAACATACGATGGGAATACTAACAAGGCCAAACTGGTTATTTGAAAAGATAGATAAAATTGACAAACATCTGGTGAGACTGATCAAGAAAACAGAGGCAAGTCCCAAGTAAACGATGTTTGAAGTGAGAAGGGGAACACAATTAGACATGGGTCCGAGAATTAAAAGAAAATAAGATACAATAAACTTTAAATCAATACATTTGCAAACAAAGGTAAAAAGGACAAGCAAAATTGATCACAAAGAAATGAAAACTTGGATAGACCTAGAAGCACCAAAGAAATTGAATTGAATTGAATTAGAAATATAAAATCTTCCCAGAAATATAAACTTTTTCCAGAAAGAAATGCATCAGGCCTAGATGGTGTTACAAGTAAATCCACCAAAATTTTTGCAGGTTGGATAATTTCAATCTTACAAACTCTTCCAATTAATTGTGAAAAGTGGGAACTTTACAATAAATTATTTTATGACTCTAGTGTAATTTGATTAAAAGAAAAAAACTGAACAGGAGCAGTAGGAGAAAATTAAAATGAAGAGCTAATTCTCCTGTGCACAATAGTACAAAGATCCCAAAGTAGGAAACCCTGCAATGTAATAAAGGCTGTATCCCTCCTCTCCTTCCAAGTTCGACCATCACAGAATTTTGAATCTATCATTCTCCATTTTTGACTTTATACATCAGTGCTGACATCGAAATGTGCTGTTCCTGTGGCCACGCCTTACATGTCACACCTGTGCCTTTGCCAATAATGCTCTGAGTACTTACAACTGCATTCCTCATTTCTTTAACTAGGTAACTCTTACTTATCTCTGTTTTTAAACTTTATTGTATTTTTTGCATTACAATTTAACACCCTTATATCCCCTCCTCCCCCACAATCACCACGCTCTTGTCCGTGTCCACGAGTCCTTTCTCCTTTTTGCTCGATCCCTGCACCTCCTAACCCCCACCCCTTAGCTGTCATCCTGCTCTCCATCTATGAGTCTGTCTCTATTTTGCTTGTTAGTTCAGTATGTTCATTAGATTCCTCATATGAGTGAAATAATACTATATTTTTCTTTCTCTGACTGGCTTATTTCACTCGCATAATGTTCTCCAGGCCCATCCATGCTGTCACAAGAGGTAAAATTTCCTTCTTTTTTGAGGCTGAGTAGTACCCCATTAAGTATATGTACCATAGCTACTTTATCCACTCGTCTACTCATGGACACTTATAATGCTCTGACTGCCTAGACCTGCAGTCCTTGTTTCTTTAACTAGGTAACTCTTACTTATCTTTTAAAAATCACATCCTCCCTCTCTCCTTCTGGTCAGGCTTTTATCTTATGACTTACCATATACAATAAAGTATTTTAAAAGTATTTAAGAGTGCCTTTCCCACAGAAGACCATCTTAACCCTTAGCTGTTAATAATATATCCAGGAATATAATATATCCAGGAATGTTGTTTGGAATGGAGCAAAATCTTCTTAATAAACTTCATTCATAAACTTTGTGCTTCTATCACATGGTAAGTCTGATGAATTATAGTAGAATGAGTTTCAGTCATCACCTATAGTTGTAACAAACAACACTCCTACATTTTCTTTGATTATTACATGCAAAATATCCGTCATTTCTCATAGACATCTTTAGGTGTTCTATCATAATAGGAGACCTTTCTGTGTGGTGTGGACCCAGTTCCCACTCAGAGATGCACAGGACCCATGTCCACGGATAGGTTCTCCCAGTGGAAAGCAAGGTCTGATATACAGGATCCACACCCATGGATAGGTTCTCCTGTAGGAGATCAGGCCTGCAATGTACCTAGGCTGCTTTGAGACTTGCTTTTTGCTAAAACTCCCTCACCCTGAATTGAGGCAGCAAGTGCTTACTGCAACTTTCTAAAGTCTGTGCTAAACCTCCCCAGTATGGAGTGTAACTGGTTCAACCACTTTTCCCTTTTCATTTGCAAATATCCCTCTTCTGTGATGTGATTAGCAACATCCTGTCCTTTGTTTTCTGTAAAAAGTAACCACCTAAACCAAACCTGTGCATAGTAAATGAGGACCATCATGTAATGTGCCCAGAAAAGAAATAAAGGCCAGTCCTGGCAAGGGCAGAGGCTTTTTCTCCTGGAGAGAAAAGCCATGCTGTCCCTTTTCCTCCACAGGACTAAGTAGTGCATGTGAATTTCTCGTGTCTCATCCACTATGTGGCAGACCCCATGAGCCGGGGTCCGTATCACTATCAGCTTTAATTTTTAGCTTTTGTCCTGCTTTTTGAGATGTACATGAGATATCATACTATGTAAGTTTAAGGTATACCTAGTGATGATTTGATCCATGTATAGGTTGTGAAATGTTTACCCTAATAAGGTGAGTTAACACAATGACCACCTCACACAGTTGCCTTTTGCTAATGGTAAGAACATTTAAGATATATTCTTACGACTTTCAGGTATGCAGTACAGTACTGGTAACCATAGTCACCAGGCTGTAAACTATATTCCTGGAACTTAGTCTTCTTATAACCGGAAGTTTGTGCCCTTTGACTAATACCTCTCCCATTTCTCTTACCCCTTAACTCCTGATAACCGCCAATCTACTCTCTTTGTCTGAGTTCAGGTTTTTGTAGATTCCACCTATAAATGTGATGGTACAGATTATGTCTTTGTCTGACTTATTTCACTTATCATAATGCCCCCAGGCACCCCCCATGTTCTTGAACTGGCTGCATTTCCTTCTCTTTGTGGCCAACACCACCCACTGCATTTACGTGCACCACATTTTCTTTATCCGTCCATCAGTCTGTACACACTTAGATTGTTTCCACACCTTGGTCATTGTGAATAACACTGCCATGAGCGTGTGGGTGCAGATATCTCTGTGAGCTAGTGATTTCATTTCTTCAGACATATACCAAAAAGTAGTAGCACTGTAGCATGTGGTAGTTCTACTTTTAATTTAAAAACAAAAAACAACTTCCTTACTGTTTTCCACAGTGGCTGCACCAATTTATATTTCAACGAACAGTGCACAGGGATTCTCTTCTTTTCCCATCCTCGCCAACAATTACTATTTCTTGTCTTTTTTATAATAAGCATTGTGAAAGGTGAAATGTGATCTCCCACTGTGTTTGTTATTAAACAGGCTTAATTTACTTTATTTGTATGGGGGCCACAGCTGGAGCCCAGGTCCTCTGCACAGAAACTTTGGTGTGGGTCTTCCTAAGGTGATCAGTGAATTCCTGATGTGGAGACTTGGGGATCAAGAAGGCAATGCCCAACATGCTTTCCTTCCTCCTTCCTTTTTCTAGTAAAGTAAGGCACGTTTGGAGTTGTAAATAAGCCTCAATTTTGTGTACAGCTGTATCAGAAAGAAGGAGCGTTCTGAAGTAGCTTATATTTGGAGAAAGCATATGCTCCAGTTAGAGATGAATCTTGACTCTGATCTTTTCAGGAACTTTTGAGAATTTACACGTAAGGGAAATGAACTATCTCCATTTTATGCTTTTAATTGCAATCTCCTTTATGTGTTTCAATAATTTTCTCTACAATAATAGTTTGTAATTATCTATACTTGTTATTAAAGACATCTTAATAGAACTATTATTAAAACCAAGAAGGCTTAATATATTTATAATGAGACATGCTAAAATATTTATTTTTAGTGGAAGCTTTATAAAGAATACACATCCTTAGAAAGGAACTCTGTACAAAATTATTTTGTATAACTTTTCATTCTAATAAAATTAAAGCACATCTTACAAATTAATACATGAAGTAGCACACTCTAGTGGGTTATTTCTAAATTTAGTTACAATCTTCCTCAATGAAACTATAAGTTTAAAGTGATCCACAAAGTTAAGAGATGACTGTGATAAGACTGAGTAAAAATGAGTAGCAATGATATTCTTTTTCTAATGACATCAACATGTAAACAACATCAAACAGGACTCACAGGAAAGGTGTTTTACCCCGTTTCATTCTCATTTCGGAAAAACAATAAGTACTTGTCTATTTACCTGGTAAAACATACAATTAGAAGACACGGCCCCCAACTGATGACACTCCTCCAGGTTTAGAATATTCTACTGCTGCTGACATTATTCTCCGGCCAGTAGCCCTTCCTGGCCGTGCTCAGGTAGAGTGTCCCATCTTCCTGAGAGCTTTGGCCTGGTCGAGGTTACACTTTGACCTCAGAGCCCCAGAAGAAATTTTCATTCTCAAGAAGTAATGCAGCTCAGCAAAGTCCTGCAAAGAGGAAGCTCTAGGTGTGAGAGCCCCGGGGGGAGCCAGCAGCTCCAGTGGAGTCCTCGGGAAGAAACGGAAGTTCCTAGGGCTTCAGCCACTGGGTATTTATTTCCCTCCATACCAGGATGTCAAGGGATTCTTTTAGGACAGGCTGAAATGTTCAGAAAAAAAAGAATATTGTCAACATGTTCTCAAGAAAAATACCTACCAAGTCCTTTCCACTTAACTCTTCTGGCATAACTTCTTTATATTTCCTCAGCTTGAAAATGGGGTTAATGGGACTGATCTCACAGGGTTGTTGGGATTGACTTAGTTAATTCAATGAAAGCACTTAAAGTCATACCTAAAACATATGGATTATCTGATTAATGGTACCACTGTCCTAGCTGCTGCAGCTGCTGTTACATAGTTAATAGTAAGTCAAGTGCAGTTATGGCGCTACTTATGGAATTACGGGACTTAAGAGGATCTGTCAATCTGAAACCTATCAGCACTCTAGATGCTAAAAATACTCAAGTTTAGCATCTTTTTCCTCAGATCATGTCAGACACAGTTCACGATTATGCACATCTTCGTCTGTCCTTAAATAACCTGAAAATAAGTCCAGTTTTATTTAATATATTTTGAGTGCCTGTACTTAAAATGCTTTAATAATTAGAGAATATGAATTCAAGTTATGTTCCTAGTTTTCTGGGAAACAACCAATGTGAGAGACAAGTATTATCCGTGGAAGTATAATTCAAAGACCATGGGATATACTACATGGAATAGATTAAGGAGAAGTTTACCCATTTTGGTAAATTGTTTGCACAGTGGCTGACAATACCCTTGTCTGTACCTTGGACGGTCGCCTCCCATGATGACTCCAGGTCTAGTCCTGTGACTCCCTTTAGCCAATGGGATAATAGCAAATGGGATGCAAGCCTCAGAGTGAGAGATGCTTGGATTAGTCAGGGTTCTCCAGAAAAACTGAGCCAATAGGATTGTACCTTATTTATATATAAATATATCAATGTTACATTATTACATTAAATATAATGTAGCATTAATAAATAATATCCTATAGATATATATTTATAATTTAATATAACATATACTAAATAATATTATGTATTATATAATAATATCTATATATACAGAGAGAGAGAAAAAGAGAGAAGGAAAGAGAGAGATTTATTACAAGGAATTGACTCACCTGATTATGGAGGCCAAGAAGTTTAGTTGGCACCGGGCAAGTTTGAGTCTAGTCGGATAAAGGCATTCTTGTCCAGCTGATCTCCCAGGGAACAGTCCAGCAGATCCAATGATACCAGTTCTTCGGGAATGAAGCTTTGAAACGGCTCCAGCTCTGATCTGTTCACTCAGCAATTCTTCGTGAACAAAGGCTTCCTGGGTTGCTATAAGCCCTTGGTTAATTTCCAGAGTTCTGAAATAGTTGATTTTTGTCTATTTTGTCCTGAGTTCTTTCATTGTTGTTTTTATGGAAAGATACACTTTGGGATGCCATTTTCACTGTGCATCACTGTTGGTCATTAAGTTAACCTCACTGAAATTGAACTATTGTGCTACAGCCAGTTCATCAGCACTGACCAGTTCATTCATGACAACTCAGTCTTGCATCCTGACGGAGGAAAAAATACACTAAAAGAAATAAATAAAATAATAAAGTAAAATAAATAAGTAATATACTAAAGCAAATCAGGCATTTCAACATCTAAACTATGAACCATGACTGCAGGAAAGGACACAGAAATATCTTCTGCAAATATGAAGAACAATGAAATTACACAGGGGCTTAGGCACCTACTTAAGAGAAACATTATCAATGGCAGCTCTAAGGCCTAAAAGAGTAAATCTTTTTTTTAGAATAAGAACAACAAATTAGAAGATGCAGCAAATACCAAGAATAAATTTACTTGAAAAGTTAACTCATCAGAATGAGAGTAAATGATCTCACCTTTAAGTGGAACTTAATGAACAAAACAAACAAGCAAGTAAAATAGAACCAGAGACATTGAAATTAAGAACAAACTGACAGTAACCAAAGGAGAGGGGGAGCGGATAGTAGAGGAGAAGAGGGGAAGGATTTTCAGGGACAACTATAAAGGACACACAGACAAAACCAAGACGGGGTGGGCTGGAAGCAGGGGAGGGAGGTGGGGAGGGCTGGGTGGAGGGGGAGTGGTGGGGGGCAAATGCAGACAACTGTACTTGGACAACAATCAAATAATTTTTAAAAAATGAAAGTAAATGCACTTCATCAGAAACAGACTACCTAAGAATGTTAAACTCACTTGTACTTAAACTCTCATAAGGATGATTGATGATAGAAGAAGAAGCAAAGAGGAAACGTTTTTGGGAACTGTACTTTATTTGCTGACACTGCAAAAACCAAATCTCTACTACACAACAAATGAGTTCATGATGGAAAAACACCGAAACACCTATTGGACTGTATACTGTACTGAAACAAAAACAAATTTAGAAAATACTCTGCGTGAAAACACAGTTGATTTGCTAATTGTTCTCTTTGCATTTTCTTTCACCTATCAAAAAATTTTACTCTTAACTTCAACCTGCTTTGACTGAAATGAGGTTTTTGTAAATCAGATATTTCATATTTGTCCTCTCAGCAATCGATAAGGTAGATGAAATAAACAGAACTATTCTGGGAGACACAGCCTGCTAAATTAAATGATAAAGTGTCTAAGAATGACAGGGGCTAAGCGCTCTTTGGGTTGGATCATCCAGTATTTAAAAGGCCACTCCAATTTGGTAGCTTTTGGGGAACAAACAACAAAGACATTTAGTTAATGATTGTTCATCATTATAGAGGGCAATTTAAAAGTGTATACAGAGCCACGCCTTTCCTGTGAGGTCATCCTAACCCCCTAGATTGCACTTGGAGGACTACCACTGCCTTTAAATTGCATCACATAGCTTTACAACGCTCCTGTCCCCCTAAGAGTTTGACTATCACTTGAGGGTAGTGAGTTAATCCTCAATCTCTCACTTCCATGACTCCCTATTGCAATTAGAGTACTTTCTACACAAATAAACATTTTATTGTCCACTATTGGTTTTAACCACTGATGTGTTTTAACCTTGTCTTTTCATTTAGATGATATGCTGCCAGAGTTCTTAAGTTTCCGTATCACCCCTTCTCTTCCCTTCCCTCCTCTTTTATTCACGGAATCCTTCTCTGCTTCTGTTTCATTCGGAAGCAGAGAAGGATTCCATGTGTTCCAAGCATGACAACAAATGCTTCAACTCTTCTCTCTACTGGAGCAATTCATTCAAACAATTTTGAAACCATAAAGACTTTCCCATTGGTTGAAAAAAATTTGAATGTTACCCTTGTTCTATCCTGTCTAAATATAATTTTGAGACTTCCTCCTACCTTATTTTCCACCTTAAGAAACTCATTGTCCAATTTTATATCTGTAGAGGGTAGTCTGCTTTACTGTGTCCATTCCTCATTGTCTAGTCACTGAAATTGGGTGTCATCCCGAGTTGCTCTGAAACAATTCACACTTTACCAACTTTACCTTCCTGGGAAGTTTCTCTAGCACTTGAAATAGTTGCCCACCCTTGCCCTCTATATAAAACACTCTTTCTTTGGCTTCCTTAATGCTACTCTGTCTTAGTTTGCCTTGTGCTCTTCTAGACCATGCTTCTCAGACCCTTCCTCAGATGCATTTCACGATCTTATTGCTCAAATGCTGGTTTTCCTCACTGATCCCTTAGTGGCTTTCCTCCCTTCATGTCTATGCTCTTCATGGGTAATTTCATCCCCTTCTTTGGCTATGATTGCTAGCTCTAAATTTATGATTCCCAAATGATTTTCAGCCAAGAATTTTCTCTAGAGCTTCACATCTCCACATCCAACTGCCTTCTGAATATCTCCATCTGTACGTCTCACAGGATCCAAAATTTAATCTGTCTAAAATTGAACTCATTATTATTCCCATAATTTCTGCTTCCCCTCTTATATTCTACATCCAGGTAACTGGTGCCACAGCAGACATAGATGGATGCCTACCCAAAATCCACCCATGCCCTTTTTCCTTCCTAATCAAACCCCAATTTTGTTCTGATTTCTATCACGTGACCCTTGAGCTCCAGCCCTGGTGTGTCCTGAGTGCTTGAAAGTCCTTTCAACCAATAAGAGTAGAATCATTTCCCTTGCCAGTAAGTGGATTTGCATGGGTGTGTGATACAATTCTCGCTGATGAGACATGAATTTGAGTTTGCTGGGGTGTTTTTGGGACAGGTCCTTCACTCTTAACAAAAAACACAAGAAGAAACTGCTCCCTCTGTGGCCCATAAATATTGTCGGCCTTGACTGACACCTGAATCTGTTGCAGGCACATTGTGAGCCCCACGGGAGCTTGCCTGAGAACAAATACAAGCTACAATAGGAGATGGAATCAAAAGAATGGTGGAGAAACCTAACTAGACTCCCATTCCTCAGGCCGCTATTCTCTTGAGTGATGGTTCAAATCAGCAGTGCACTAGAATCAATTGAAAGTCTCCTAAAATAGATACTGCTCGACCTCACTCCCAGAGGTTTTAAATGGGGCTAGAGGAGGCCCCCAAAATGTGCATATTTACCAAGTTCCCAGGTGATGCTCTACTTTGAGATTCACTGACCCAGAGTTTCCCACCACTTGCAGCCGAAAGCACTTTAATAAATAAAAGTCTAAGTACTACATTGTCAAAGCCAGAATCTTGTGACTCCTCCTAAACTCTCTTCTCATCTCTAAACATATCAACTTTGTGAAATGTTATTCCTTCTACTCTCTGAATATTTCTATTAGGGTGCCTTTTTTGTAGTGACTATCACTCCGTAGTGCAAGCCGCCATCATCTCGCCCTGGGGTTATTGCAACAGCTCGGTTGGCCTGCAAGCCCAATCTCTCCCTGCTGGCAGTTTGCATTGCCATCAGAAGAAACTTTCAAAAAATGTGAATTCTGTCATCCTTTGTTTGCTTAAAGCTTCCCGGGGGCCCCCGGACCTGCTGGAATGTAGTACAAAGTCTGTACCTCCAAGAGCAGTCCTTCCCACATACTGCACACTCACTCCACGTGGCTCTCCACCTTGCGCGTGCCTCCTCCAGCCTTCCGGAAAGGCTTTCAGTTTCTTCAGACCCCTGGGCTCTCTCCTCCTCTGTGCCTGCTCACACGTTCTTCTGTTCTTCCCCACCCTACCGCTTTCTCCTTTGCTTGGACTGTGCTTCTTTAGCTCGAATAAAAGTTTTTGTTTAGATATGTCTTCCTCAAAGAATTCTTACCCGATCTCCCAAGTGTGGGTTCAAAACACCTCACACGAGCTCCTGGAACTCTTTACTTCCCCTGCAACACCACTTCTACTGGCCTGTAATCGCCTCTCCCTGGGCCTGCACATCTCCGATCGTGTCTACCTCATCCACTTGGCGAATTCCCCACACAATGTCATTATCACTATTGTTATCTTCATCTCATCCTCCCTCCCTTCCAACAGACATTGCTCTTGCATTTTTAACCTTTTAACCACCTTGTTTTTGGTTATGATAAAAAAAAGAGGTTCAGAGAGAGCAAGTAATTAACCCAAGATACAAGCTAGTAGTGAAAAATCAGGACTCTCGACTCTTCCTTGTGATAACAGTGTAACAGTACCTGACTTTCCTCTAGAGAACGACCCCCCTCCACCCATTAGCCACCTTCTTTTGCCTAAGAATTTACTTCTTATATTACCACCCCTCCCCAATATACCCAGGGCCACATGGTCACCAGCCTGTAGGAATAGCCTTAACTGTAGTTTGTCAGAGAGGTACACAGCTTGCCTCTGCTCTCATTCCCAGTTCCTCCGGCATCTCTGCCCCACTCCCTGAGGAATGACTGACTATCCAGTGGTCCTGTTCACCACATAGGTTACAATGGCAAACATTAGAAAGAGAGGAACTATCCTTTCTAACTATATAAATAAGTATGCCCCAATCCAAATGCAGAAAACACCAGGTTTTTAGAGTGAAAATAGGTGCAAATGTACTGTTTAAGTTTGATAAAGTAATAAAGCTAATGAAAAACAAACAGAAAAATGATTCTGAACTTACAAAGTCAAACTATAGCTGTTCATGCCCTACGAGGCCCATCTCCAGACCACCCCTCCCGCCGATACCTGAACACTCCTCTGTAGCCGCACTGGTTACCATCCGGTCTGTCTTCTTGGCAGACGCACAAGTTCTGTGAGCTCTCGCGCACAGGACTATTTTTCATCCCTGGATGCTTGGCGTCAAGAATTGAGAACAGCTCCTGACAGAACACTGGTGCTCAAAGGAAAAAACAAAAAACAAAAAGGAATTAGATCAGTTGTACATATAATCTAATAAAGAAAATATACAGGGTGGGGTAAAAGTAGGTTTATAGTTGCTCATATGGAAGATAATACAATGATTAATAAATATTTAATAATACATGAATAAACTCTGTTTCATGTACTCACAACCGTAAACCTACTTTTGCCCCACCCTGTATATTTCCATCAAGGTTTTCTATTTCCTCTTAGCAAGAGAGTTTAAAGACAGGTTTGGTTGAATAATTTCAAAACGGAGCTTTCATCTGTCTAACCAGTATTTCAGAACTGGGGAAAGTGAAGTTGTCCTCTACAGAGTCTGTCATCTCCAATTCTCTGAGGCAGGGAGATTTACATAAACTGTCACCCTGTCCCACACTCTTTCCAAATTTCACTTGGCTGCCAGGTACAGCCCCTCTCCCCCTGGAGCGACACCCCCCAAGGCCTCGATCTGTTCTTCTCACTCTGGGGCAGTCTGTATTCAACCTCTCATTTTACACAAAGGCTGGCATCGTCACACCACTCAGTATTTTCTAATCAGGCTCCCTCCTACAATGGACCAGCGGGAAGGGGCAAGGTGAAGGACACAGCCCAGGGCCTGCCAGCCATCTCTCATTTTCATTCCTCGTCCAGGCAGTGGCTGCCCTGGAGAATCAGCGCACAGATGCCTGGCAGCCTCCTGAAGCAATCTATTCTCGAGACGGATGATTTTTTTTCTAGTCAGCACTGTCATACTGTAATGAGTAGACTCAGAGCCTTAAAATGAAAGCTTCCTGAGAAAAGAACATCCTGAAGATTGTTTGAACTATATTACTAAAATTCCTTTTAATGTGTGATGACTCAACCCTGTTTGTTCATTGCGAACATAAACAGGGCTCATATTTAAGGGTGTGCCTGGTTAAACATATTGTGTGCACCCTCTATATTAAGATTAACACCTGGTGGGAAGCTGTAATTTATTTCGTGTAGAGTGTTTAGTTTTCACATAGAATAGAAATTGAGAAAGAGGTGGTTAAATAAGGTTGACACATGTCAGATCGTGAATGTCTTACAGCCTAAGTTTTTGCTATCAGGGACATTACTGGAACAACTAGCAAAACTTGAAAGGGTCTGAAGATGAGAGGGCAGTGATGTGTCATCACAGTTAACGTGTTGACTTTGATTTTTGCATTGTGTTTCTATTAGATACCAACATTATACAAAACACTGACAGCTACAGAAAGTACAAGAATTATTTCAGGTCACTTACATTGTAACAGGAAAGCTATCGGGTGCATATAAAAGATGAAAAACACAAAGCATGATGCCCCAAGGGCCAAACACCAGACAAGGATCTATAGTTCTCAATAGTTTTTTTCACCAATGACATTGACCCAAATGCTCACTCTTAGTGATTTATGAAGCTTCAGACCCAAGTCCCCGTGAGCGGGATGTAATTTCATTCTTTCCTCCTTATTGAATGAACATGGCAAGGAGCAGAGGTAGCATTATTCTAATATCACTGTTGAATTTATCCTCGTTTTATTTTAAAAGGTAAAGGATTCACCATTCTGGGGACACCACCGCTAACGAATGCATCTCTGAAGCAGTTTATTGTATCTCTCAGTGTAACTCAAATTAATACATTTTGAGAAGGGCTAATTTTTAAATGGAGCAACAAGCAACATTACCACCCTTCCATGGTCCTCCCTGGGGTGTTTCCTGACCACTTTGTCCCAAAAAGCAGCGACCACAAACTTCACCTGGTGCAGCAGTTTGGGAATCCTAATGCCTACAGCCTTCTCGGTAGCTCTTCCCATATGTACCAATAACACTGTGATAATAGATTGTGGACAGTCCTCAAATTCAACATTTATCCCTCCACAATTATAGAGTGTGATAAGTGGTTAGAGGAATAGCATTCCTCAAGATGTTTATAGTTTAGCTAAGGCAGATAATAAACATGGGAAAACTCTGAAAGCATTCATACCAGAGATACAAATCCTTTCTCCCTCCTCCCACTACAGGATTCAGAATTTCCCATCTCATCTTCTCCATCCACTGGCTTGTAACAGAACCCCATTCTCTCTCCACAAACATGGGAAATTCCATTTCTTATGTTGGGAAAATCAGCGTATCAGGGGTCAGGTAGACACGCTCTGTGATGACGGCAGTTTCCTTACTTCTCTGCTTCCATACAGATAAATCTGGCACAAGCAAACCTACTCTCTAGGTTGGAGACTGGATTACACGTGCTCATGCGTGTGAAGCACCTGCTCTCAAAGGATCCCCTCCACTCTCCTCTCTGCTTCTCTCAGGCTGGGCTCACCCAAGTCTAGGAATGCAGTGGACCAATAGAAAGAACCTGATGATGACAGGAAAAGGAAATGCCATGGCCTTGGGCACTCCGAACCCCAGCATCAGAAGTAGACAGGCATCAGGCCACCTGTTGGCATGCTTCTGAATTCCCTGGGTTCCAGAAAGAGCAGGCCCACTCAAGTAGTTTGATATTGACCTTCTTCTTGGAGACCTACAGATCTCTGAATTGACACCTTCTAGGAATCTACATTCCTTACCCCAGCACCCAGCAGTCTGGACTTCAGGCTGTGATCTGGTGCAAAAAGAGACTCTTCTGCACTTCCTGTCGATAAATTCAAAGAGCCTAGAGCCCCCTGACACCTGGCCACCTGCCCTCTCCAGCCCCAACAGCAGCTCTGCTCAGGACGGGTGGGCGGGCTGGGTGCTGGGACTAGGTGGGAGCGTGATGGTACAGCCATACCAAATCCTTGCAAATGTATCTGCAACTCTCAGTGATTCTGACTTCTTGAAGCTTCTTTTCCTCTTCCGTCCACTTCCACCACACACGAGTTACTTCTGTGAATTTGAAACCCCTGAGGTTACTGCCGAAACCCCTGAGTCCTTCTCATTATTCTTCTCTTATCACAAAATCGAAATAAATCCTCCTTAGAAAAACACATAAAAGAAAAGGAGGGAGGAACAGTTGGAGGGGGCGATGGAGGGAGAGAATGTGAAACCAGGAAGAATGTGAAAGGTGGGAACACTCGTGAAATAGCAACTTTGGATTAGTCACAAGTGTAACTCTCCTTCTCTTTGGGGTTTTGCTAGCTGCATTGCCAGATCCCCACTTAAGAACATAGTAGTTCTCCATTCTGGAGGAACATCCCCCACCCAGTGGGGCAACAGCAGGAAATAGTGCATAAGTGTTCTGGCGTCATTTTGAATGAAACAGGTAGAGAAGGAATTGATTGAGGATTTTCCTTTGCCTTCAGAAGTTTCTATACACCACCTCAGGTACTTCTGAGACAAGCTTTTATTTATATAGTTTTTGTTTGTTTGCTTGTTCGTTTTTTACCAGAAGATTTCTTAGTCCGGCAGAATCTTTCTTCAGCTATTTTTAAGCCTTAACTCTGATATTTTGGACCATTTTAAGGCACAGAGTTTGGTTTGTTAGGTCAGGAAAGAAAAATGTGGCATACTACTGTGCTTTAGTGATATATTCGACAAAGCTTATCGAATCTTCCTATGTTCATCTTTTGCCTCTAGAAGAATTGTAAGGAATTAAAACAAAATAAAGGGCCAGCCTATATAACACAAGTTCAGGAACTCCAAACTTGGATCTAAGGTACATGTGCTCTGATCCTCACTCTACTAATAATTTGGGGGCATATTGACCTATCAAACACATGAGGTTGTCATAAAAAACATATTAGATGATATATAAAAGTAGATTGACAAAATATAATATGCAATATAATTGAAAATAAGGGGTCATATTTAAAGAAGTTACTAAAATAAAATAAACACAAAGCCTATGTAAAAGAACCCATGGTTTTCCAATAGTGGAAAACCAAAGGCTACTTTTTGCTTAGAATAACCTATTTTCTCTAAATACTTTCAAAGACTTTTAGAATGAGGAAAAGTCTCTGAATCTTAAATGGTTCTTTTAAAAATGTAAAAGCTTCCTCTTCTACCATGTGATATTTGGATTACATTTTGATAAGACAGACCACAGCTTTTTGAAAGGGATATTGAGTAACCTGAACCCTGCCCAATCGACTCTTACCCTAAACCATCCTGTACAGAAACTGCTTCTTGTGACACAGTTGCCGGGGATGAACAATCACCGTGGAACAAAAAATTCAACATGAAACATCTTGCAAAGTACGTTATTTTAATATTACAGTCACATTTATATAATAGACACTATAATACTCTAACTCTTCATCATAAGCACTGAAGAATGAGCCCTTAACTGTTCCTTTTTCTAGACAAAATACAAAATTGAGACTAAGAATCCAAACCGGTGGAGGCTCTAACTTGTCTAATGATGGGGTAGATTCTTCGATGCTCTCCCCACATCCCCACAGAGTGTTATAAACCAAGAAGGTTTTTCAACATGGATAGCACAATAAATGTAGATGACATGTTGGGGACAAATGACGCATCTGAATTTCAAGAGACCATAGACACAAGGTCTGGAGAGCTCTGTTTGTCTGTTTGCAGCTCGTTTGAGCAGACTGGCTGTATGGGTTGTACGTTGTGGGGCCAGGAAGAAAACACAGTCAGCAGTGTCATCACGATTCAGTTACAACCAGCAACCGGAGAAGCCAGAAGCTTTTGGGCAGACAGGTATAGTCAGAAAGGACCCAGAGGGAGGCTTTTTCAAGCTTTGTGAATGCTGGTGCCAAAAAAAAAAATACAAAACCCAACTAAGAGAGAAAGATCAAAGAAGATGGGTCTGAGAGACCGGAATATGAATGAGGAGGGCGTGAAAGAGAACAAGGTAGCCCTGCTGTGATAAAAGACCAGGAACCTAGAGAAAACCAAAGATGAATATGTCCGTTCCCAAGGGAAGTTCCTGAGACCAAAGACAATGCCCTTATCTACTTCACGATCTATAGTGGCCCCAAAGCCTTCCAGATCTTTGAAATCTCAAGGGTGAACTTGTCATGACTCTTGCTCTC